CCCCCCCAAAATATAGTCATTTTTCAGCTATCAACTGTTTCCAGGTTTAAAAACGAACATTTTGGAACATGAAAGTTGGATTTTGGTATATGTGTATGCTTAAATGGTTCGTTACGGGACGTGTTGTATGGTATGTTAATCAAGTCGCATCTTTTTAAAGTTCTTCCTTATAGATTAATATGAAAATACAGACTATGATTTATTTCACTATTGTGCATTCTTGATTTTAAGCAAAAGAAAATGCTAACAATCATCAATCATGGTTTCACAGTTTTTTTTACTGGTTTTAACCCGTGCAACAATAAAGATCACATTTTTTCATAAGTTTTCTGGATTTAAGTAGGCAATCATATAACACAGAAAAAAGTAATGTTGTTGAACTCTAAACCAGGCGGCCAAGACTCCAATGCTTGAACTGTAATAACACTAGTATTAGTTTATAATGTATTTTTAATATATTTTACATTTCAGCCCTTAGTCTTCTTGTTATTTACTTTCTTAACCTACATATAAATAGGAGATTAGGGTTTCTCCTCATTCACTTTTTCCTTTTCTCTTTTCTGAGCGCTGCTCTCTCTCTCAATCTTTCCTCTCGGTTCTTCAATCTTTCCTCTCAAATCATGTACAGATATTATGTTTGATTCAATAAAATTCGATGTTTGATTCAAAAAAAAATTATGTTTGATATGTAATTTCCTGAAAAAACTTGTGTGCCATTTGCATTGTCATGCAGTTCTGTTGCTAGCAGTATTAATTAGTTTTAGTCAAAGAAATATTTTTTCATGTCCTTGGAAATTTTTCAGATAGGCGGTTAATTTTCTTAAACATCTAATATTCTTTATGTATTTATTCACATAAAATATTATGTATTAACCAAAATTATTTACAAGTGCAGTAAAAAAAAGCTGATGGATACATCATACATGTAAGAAGTTGGTTGAAACTAAATGAAAAGGGCAAGTTTTTTTCTTATAGAAACTTGAGAATTCACACAAATCTAGTGCATAGAGGTGCAAACGAATTGATCAAGCTTTTGATACTTGAGTTCGGACTCAAGATTTTATCAAGCCGAGCTGATAAACGAGCTCGACCTGACTTGTCTATATTATATATTAACTACCGAAACCTAAGTCTTTACGAGTCGAGATAAATTTAAAATAATGTTTATTCTCGAGCTTGCAAAAACCGAGTTATACTAAAATCGTTAGTTTGTTAATTAACTCGAACTTGACTCGTTTATTAAACTGCCTGAGCGAGCTGATGTACATCTCGTTTCTTTTTTTCTTTTTTTTTTTTTCGAATAGAACAAAACACAAATTACACACTAGAAGATAGTGGATTCGTCGATAAAACCAACCATTCTGGTGAATCTAGTTGGGGAACTACATGAAGGTAGTCTAATGTCAACCGAACAACAACAAATACCCGAAACGTAAAAACCTAAAAGAAATCCTCACGAGATGAGAGGACAAATCCCACAAGAAGAAAAGCTCCTAAACGGGAGAACGAAAAGACCCAACAAATAGTCAAATACAAACCTGGAACCCTACACAAACTGGAAACCCAACAACAACAACAAAAAACCAGCAGCACCCGTTTTGTTTAAGAATTTTATGCATAATAAAGACGTGAACGGTGATTATTTATTATTGGATAAAGTTTAGGTGCTAAAGTGACATTCTATAAAGCTTAGGAGGGCAGAGTGCAATAACGATAAACTGCGAATCCAGTGTCACTCCGGCTTTCTGTCGAGCACTTGAGCTGCATCCATTTTTTGCAGTCACATAAAAATAAAAAGGCTCGTCACGAAGAACCTGAAAACTCGAGAACTAGACTCAAAGGAGAAGAAAAAGGGGAGGCGCAATAGAGATGATGGAAGCGTGGAATAAAGAGACAGTGCCAAAAGTGATGCAGATTGTGAGCACAAGACTTCCTCAGAGAGACCTAATCTCCCTTTTGCTCGTCAGCCCTTGGATTCATCGAAATTTGATTTCCCACCCGTCTCTATGGCTGGTAATTTGTCTGTGGTTGAGTGTCTAATGTAGTTTTTATGTCAAAACTGCCTTCTTTCTCTTCAAAGTTGCAAAAGTTCGCTGTTTGGTGATTTTATCTCCTACAAAAGCTTCGATTTTTGATGTATTTATTTTCAGGGTCCTTTTTTTTCGTTATGGATAGATTTGTACTGTTTTTTTTTTCATTGTTCAAAAATATAATTATGTATAGGCCGTTCTGTTTTTTCCCCATAAATGGTGTTAATTGGAGCTTGAACTTGCGATGATGGGTTTTGAGTTTTTCTGTTCTTTCTGTGTCAGGTTCTTGATTTTCATGAGATGAATAATGCTGGGGATCGCCTAGTGTCAGCTCTCTCACTGGTCAATATTTACTTCTCCGTCTTCTTTTCTCGAATTAGATGTATAGGTTGATCTTGTGTTAGGCCAGTCTAACTATGAGTCCTGACATACTCTTTTCACAAATGTGCATACGTTCATTAGAAGTTCGTACTTTTAAGAATCAACATAAACAGAAGTATGACATTTATAATACAAGTATGCAAATTTGTTCAAATAATATGATGGGTCGACCCAATTCTCTGAGGCAACCTAACGATTATGTTGCCTCACACAATAATTTATGTTTACCTTGTTCGTTGTCTTTATTAATACTGATTTGGATATGGTTTCTGGAAAAATGCAAGGAAAGTGAATGAAGTTGTTAACCTAGTTGTTCTAAAGGGTTTGGGAAACTGCTTGCTGTACATCAATACGTGTTGCGATACTGAAAATGTCTGCTTGTCTAAAATTCTTTTGTAGCCAAGATATGGGAAAGTGAAGCATATAAACCTTGAGTTTGCTCGGGATATTGAAGACAGACATCTTGAAATTGTTAAAAGCAAGGTTGTATGTAAACATTCATTGCTTACTGCTTTGATATGTAGTTCACCTTCTGTTGTTTGGCGGAGTTGTTGCCTTTGCTCGAAGTTTTTTTTTTTTTTTTCAATATCTTTGTATGCAGTGTGGACATTCTGTTAACAACTTAGAGATTCTTAATCTGAATGGCTGCCAAAAGATATCTGACGTGGGAATTGATTTCATAACATGCAACTCCCCAAATCTAAAGGTCTTCTCCATCTATTGGAATGTGAGGTACATTTTGCCTCTAGCTGTGCAATAAATTTATACACTGTTTTTGTTCTCTTTTAGGAGTTAGAAATTCGAAATTCAATTCTTCTTCAGGGTTTCAGATGTTGGTGTTAAGAACTTGCTGAAGAACTGCAAAATCGTGATTGATTTAAACCTTAGTGGTTGTAAGGTATACTGAATAGGCCATTGTCTTGATTTGCAATACTCTATTGCCATTGTCTAAAATGATATGTATTTCATGGGGTGATTATGTGAAACTACAGAACATCACGGATGGAAGCTTGAAATTAATTGCAGAAAATTATCAAGGATTGCAGGTGCTGAACCTAACTAGGTAATGCAGCCTTTTAATTTAGGAAATCATATTGTAAATTAAGTTATCATGTCTATGATACCTAACAAATGCATAGTTAACTGATAAAATTTAGATGCGTGAAGCTAACGGATAAAGGTCTGCAAATGATATTCCTCAAGTGCTCCTTCATTACAACCTTGAATCTTTATGCCCTTTCCAGGTAAAATTTTTTTTTTTTAAAAAAAAAAAAAAGAAAAAAGAAAACTAAAGAATATATATAGTGATATGCAGTGAATTGAAGATTAAAATCTGAATATTTTGGTTCGTATCTCTCTTTATACAGTTTCACGGACGATGCTTACAAGAAGATATCACTTTTGAGTCGCCTTGAATTTTTAGATCTCTGTGGTGCTCAGGTATGATTTAAAACCTACACTAACCTACACACTGTTACTCGAAAGTAGTAGTTATGGAAAGCTTATTTTACTCAATAAATCTGATTCCACTTAAAATGACAGAATCTTTCCGATGACGGGCTCTCGTGTATAGCTAAATGCAAAAACTTGACTTCTCTCAATTTGACGTGGTACTTAGTCTATCAATGGCCTCATGTGAATGCATGAATAAATAATGTAGAAAGTACCAAACACTTAACTCGTGTGTGATACACGAACAGGTGCGTGCAAGTCACAGATGAAGGAGTCATTGCTCTTGCGAAAGGCTGCAGGTCTCTTGAATCCCTTAGGTCGGTATATACATTCCCCGATTGAACTCTACGAAATTACGGGAAAAAAATGGAAAATCACTTCGATTGTGTTGTTTATTATGTATTTGTAGCCTGTTTGGTATAGTTGGGATTACGGACAAGAGCTTGGAGGTCCTCTCGAGCTTCCATTCAGATACAATTACGACCCTTGATGTCAATGGATGCGTTGGTATAAAGGTACTGAGGTTTTCTTCTTGGACAATATCAGAATATTAAGACTAACCGTATGGGCTTTGCTTATACTATTGCAGAGACGAAGCCGTGACCAACTGCTCGAGTTGTTTCCAAAGCTCAAATGCTTCAAAGTCCATAGCTAGACACCAAGTGTTGAATGTATCTCCTTTCATTTATTTTTTCTTTTTCCCCGAAAGAAGTATGGATGTACAATTTATGGTTTACATGTGGAGATGAAATGTAATTGGTGAAAAAAGTTATACTATTTTATAGTTGTTTTTTTGTTAATTATTATATGTTGTTTCCAGCTAGCCTTGCCTCAGTTCAGGAATTCCTCATAATTACTTAGGAAAGTGATATCACGCCTTAGCTGGACGAAGGATACGGCGAACCGTATAGGAAGTTTTCTCCTCGTACAGCTCGCCAAAAATGATTTGATTCGCAATGCTTTTCTTTTGATAAAAGTGTCAGTTTTAACATGTACTCGTGTGAGGCTAGTGTAAAAAGAAAAGAAACAAGAATTCTTTCAAACTAAATGAAAAAAAAAA